GCATGAGGGCACCAAGAGACATTCCATCACTGGAGTGAAGGAGGAAACAGGCTGCAAGAACAGCAGCCAGCCGGCTCTGAGGTACAGGTGAGTATAACTGTTACTTTTGTCCCTGGACGAAAATGTGCACGTTAATTAACCCCATCCTAAATAAGGTCATCCTGCTTCAGCCCACATAAGAAGTGCACAGACTGAAAATACTGATTTATCTCCAACAGAAAGTATAGGCATGGCTTTCCCCAGCAATGCAAGGTGTATGTGTTTGTGGGGGAAAGCCATGCGTTTGTGGGGGAAAGCCCCTAGAGCATGCTAGGGCAGATTTATAGGAAGATAGAGGTACATACAGGCACCTTATGCTCTCAGTTTATAGTTTTGTGTTTAATAAATGGCAGGTTCTCTTTAATCCTTTTCTTTTTATAAGTACAGCTCTCTTTATACCAAGTCCTATATTGACTTCTTAACCACCAGAATCTCCATCATGACCTGAACATAAAAGCCGTTAATCAAATTTCCCGTATCAATATTTTTGGGAAGCCACAATTCTGCATTTTTATGGTGTATTTTAGAGGGGAAAAAAGATGACGTTACTGAAAGTCCAGTGTTACTCATCGAGCTAAGTGTGAACCATTGTCTGTCCCACATAGCTGGAGGAGGTGACAGAGTACAGATTAGTAATATCCTTCTTTAGAGCATGAGTAAAGCAGGGTTTTGGCAGCGGAAACAGTCCATAGATCTTCCTGTAGCCACTCAGCAAAAATGAGCCACAAATGACTAGTAAATGCCTTCCCTTCAGGGATGATGTTCCCCTCAGGTGCATTCCATCCTTGTGGGCTCCTTACTGACAAGCTCTTTCCCTGGAGCTGCTGTTATTTAACAGGAGGTAAAGTGATACCTCCTTTGTCAGGGAGTTAAGGCTATATCATTAGTACAACACAGAGACTTAACACCATCCTAGAGTCTCAGGAACCTTTGTAGTGCTCGTTAAATCATTAGTCAATAGTTTGTCTCCTTCTGAGTGCACTGTGTTTGTACAACAGAAATTAGTTACGGGATATTTGTCTCAAGAAGAATATCAGTGTAATGCTCAAAATATAGATAGATTATGTATATGTATTAGAGAGAGAGAGAGAGAGAGAGAGAGAGAGAGAGAGAGAGAGAGAGAGAGAGAGAGAGAATCATTTAGAATATAAGTGGAGAATACAACCTAAGCATGAGTGTCACATGCACCCTTTTTCCTCTTCATATATTAGTTTTCATTCTTTCATTTTTATGCAATGTGTATATAAATGCACTAGGGATGCACAGATACTTTTCGAGTACCAGTGCAGATACTTGGCATTTTCATGAGAACTATCAGGGTTGCAGCTGGGACCGGGCTCTGGCGCTCCACCACTGTCCTGAAATCATTAGTCTGTATTGTTTTAGAAAAACTGTCACATGACAATAAACAAAAATGTATCAGTACTCGTACTTGGAAGTACTCGGCAAGTACCACTCGTACTCGCAAAACTGGTATCTGTGCATCCCTTTATTTACAGTATATCTATAAAAACAAAATCGTACATTAAAACAGAGATGCCCAAATCCCAGGAGCTCCGTGTGCGCCTTACACATGACAGCGGCCTCCTAACTTCTGAATTTTTCTCTAGTGTAGTCTTGGAGCTCAAAAGTATCGGTACATGTACTCATACTTGTACCGAGGACTGTACTTGGTATCTGTGCAACCCTAAAATGCACAATCACACACATACACACAAAGGTTGGACTTGATGGACCTGTGTCTTTATTCAAGCTCAAATACTATGCAACTATTTAACTATGTAATGTGCCTCTGAACTTGCTAGAAAATGTGACTTCTCCAGAAAGAGTCAATTCCCCATTACAGCCTCCCCTCTCCTTGCACATCATAATACTTTGCACTTCCTTAACCTCCTATGTAGCTGCTCAGAAAGGGAGTGAAGGGAAGTAATTTAAAGCAGCCTTTCTAAACCAGGGTGCCTTCTGGCTTTCTAAGGGCTGCCTCAAAATGTTTGCACAAACTTTCCATGGTGAGTCATACATTCCATGGTGCAGCCAGGCATTAGGCACCGTGGAAATGCATGAGATTAATCCAGGCAATGTGGAATCCATTTAGAAACAGATGAAAGTTCTCCATTCAGGCCTACTCGGCCTCCCGGCCTCTGCCATGCTGTGACTTCTGATATGATGGTAGGACTCTGATGTGAAGGGAGGACTCTGATGTGAAGGGGAGTTTCTGATATGGAGGGGGAGTTTCTAATGTGGAGGGGTCTTCTGATGTTAAAGGGTGGCTGTTGATGTGATGGAGGGGCTTCTGATGTGAAGTGAGGACTCTGATGTGAAAGGGGGCTGCTAATGTGAAGAGGGCTTTTATAACATGAAGGGGGGCTTGTGATGTGAAGGGTGGCTTCTGATGTAACAAGGTCTCCTGATGTAAAGGGGGCTTATAATGTAATGTGTTTTTGCATGGGGTCCCCCCTAAAATCCATTACATTTTAGACTGGGGTGCCTCAAGATTTTCCATACTTTTCAAGGGTGCCGTGACTCAAAAAAGATTGTGAAAAGCTGATTTAAAGTATCAGCCCTGAGTCTGCTGGGGCTAGGCTAATACCCTATCAGCTTAATTAAAAAAAATTAGTGCAAACTGCAGTACTGACTATCCGTATGAGCCAACTGCAAATACACCACTCTTCACCACTCTTACAACATTAAAGTATATCTAAAGCCAACATTTTTTTTCTTCATTTTTGATAGAGTAGGGGAGGGGTGTCAGATTTTTTTAATTTGCCATTTGTGTATAATTAAAGTGACACATATCTTTACTAATGTCCTTAAAGTGACATTAAACCCTCAGATTTTTTTAACATAAAACAATAGTGTAATGTGTGCCTTACTGTAATCCATGGTTGTTTCCCTTCTCTTTGCTGCTCTTCCTTTTAAATCTGTATCTCTTCTCATGCTGGGCAGAACTTCTGTTTTGCAGCAGACTGCCTTGTCTCTGGAATGGCTACATGGTGTCTGTGTGAAGGTTCACAACCTGAGCCAGCACTACAGGAAGAGGCACTCAGCTGCAAAGGGAAGTTCTCCCCAAGCATGAGAAGACATGAGGATTTAAAAGGAAGAGCAGCAAAGAGAAGGGAAACAACCATGGATTACAGTAAGGCGCACATTACAGTATTGGTTTATGTTAAAAAATCTGAGGGTTTAATGTCACTTTAAAGTGACACTAAACTCAGGAGATAAATCCTAAAAATGCATTCAAGTACCTTACTGTTAACAAAAATGTATCTTATTTGTCACTCGTCTGTAGTTCCTCAAATCATCTCTGAATTGGTGCTGACACTGTCCTTCCTTCTGGAGGGGGGCGACTTCTGTTCCCCATGGTCCCTGTGTGTGTTGTAAAGTAGCCATCGCTCCAAGCTCGTGCCTGTGATAGACTACAATCTCATGTTTAGTTAGCTCATGTGTATTGAAATTATACACACACAGGGACCACGGGGAACAAAGTTAGCCATCCTCCAGAGGGAAGGACAGTGTCAGCACCAATTCAGAGATGATTTGAGGGTCTACAGCCGAGTAATTTACAAATAAGGTACAGTATTGTTAATAGTTAAGGTACTTTAATGCATTTTTAAATGTAATGTATACGTTTTTATGAGTTTAGTGTCACTTTAATGAGATTTCCCTTGACTTCATGTCCTGTGTACAGTAGACACAACACAAAGTAAGAGTATATATTTCCAATGTGAGGGAATTGCCCTCTTAGACAGGAGATCACATTGGTGATCAAGACAGTTTAAAGGGGGAATCTCTCTAATGTACTGCTGCAACTAATGATTATTTTCATAGTCAATTAGTTGGCCGATAATTTTTTCAATTAATCGGATAAAAACATTTAAATAAATACCATCCTTAATTTAAAATGAAATACACAAATTCAGTGTTACAAACATAAAGTTTACTTCAGAATAAAACTGCATGCACAATTTTTTGCAATCATACTGCACTGGAATGAACAACATTGCAATACTGTGCGTTCCAGTGTGGGCGATCACACTGTGGGTGGGAGGCGCGTTTGAGGTGGCATTGAAATTAATGGCACTGCAACGCACCTCCCGCAACAGAATTTGTCAGGCTGAAACCACCTTTTATTAAAAAAATTCTAATAGTGCACATGGCGCTTGAATAGCTTTAGCCGGGGAATGACAGCTGCCAGTGGCACGATTCCGCAGATGGCAGATGAATGTACATACAGCAGGTAGTGGGCTGGTGCAATGCCCAGCCTGCTATTGGCCATTTCAAATTGCAATAGCAGGCTGGGTATTGCACCCGCCCAATGCTTGCTGTGCCCTCCAGCGTGGAGGAGAGAGCTAGGGGATGCAACCAACTAATCGATGATGAGAATAGTTGACAACTATTCTCATCATCTATTATTATTAATCAATGAGTTGGTTGTAGCTCTAATGTGGACAGCAAAAAAAAAAGACTAATCCTTCACCCCTCTATCCCATTTCAAAAACAAAGTTTTGCCTCTTACTTTAAATTACTGAAATGTTACTGCATGATTTCTCTGCTGCCCTCAACTAAATCTTAAAAGGTTTTCCAAGAGAAGCAGAAATAAATAAATGCAATTAAAGTAAATGATAGATTTCCCTCAAACAAGCCAATGCTTTGCATTTGTAAAAAAAATAAAAAATATCATCCAAGTGGAATGGGTAAAATAACACATTGTATACATCATCCTAAAAATATGTAATGCTTTACAGAATAAATACATAGTTCTTTCAACACAAAGGAGGATTTTCTTGGGAATTTTTGTTTTAATGTTTGACCATAAAATGTAATGAAAAGCTTGCGGGTAGCATATAATCTTTCATGATGTAATGCTAAAGCTTGTCTCTGGCGGGAGAACAAGCACACTCAAACACACACAAATACATAAATACAGAATGGCTATAGATCTACTATAGAGTACTACTCACATCAGCTTCTCCTTGATCAATGACATAAAAGTTGTCACCTTCATCACCTGAAAGACAAGAGATTAATAAAGCAAGGTATTTCTACATGTCTATAATAGCAACAAATTTAAAGTGATCCTGTAGGCTCATAAAGACTCCTCGTCTCTAGTACATGACTGTGACTGTCACTTAAACACTAGTGTCAGGTAGGGGGATGTGGCCCTGGGCTCACAATGGAAAATCTATCGGACATGTTGTGCATTGGCAGGCTGCCTGTAGTCTCCCACTAGAAGAACACACAAGGCCTCGTTCACATGGGCTGTAGGCTCCACCGCTCCTCTGAAAAGCAATCTGCAGAGGGTGGTTGACAGCCGCTTTGCAGCATTTAGAACGTGATACTGCTCCTAAATGCCTATTTTTTTAACCCAATTGGGATCATTTGACTGACAATTACTCCGACATGCAACAAATTAATTTTAGATAATTTTTTTAAATTTAGACATAGAGAACTCTATTTTGGTGGTATTCAATAACCACTGTTTTTTTTTTTTTAATGTTTTACTGTATCATGTTAAAAAAAAAAAAAAAGCTGCTTCCCCTACATTCTGTTATAAAACAGATCAAATAAAAATGCCACGACAATATGAACACTCCCAAAATGACCTCTTTTTGAAAACATTTAGACTAATTTTTTTTCCACAAATGAAGAAACATGCTGCTGTGTTTGGAGCTTAATATATGGAGCTTGGTAATAATGCACTAGATACAAACTGCATCATTAATGTACAGGTCATACACAGAGGGAGGAGTTGAAGGGGTTAATGTACAAGTCACATACAGTGGCAGAATGGAGATGAAGGGGATAGTGAGCAGGATAAGGGAGGTGAAGTAGTTATTTTTCAGGTCACGTAGAGCATCAGGATGGAGATAAAATGTTGAAAACAGGGAGGGAGGGTAAAAGGGTTAAACAAAATTATAAAAGTTAATTACAAACCCTCACCATGAATCTGCTGCTGCCTACTTTCCCTTCATTCTAATTAATCTTCATTGATAAATACTCCTTTCATTCATTCCTCTGTTGTAAAGGAAGGGGAGGGCTCAGAAATATCAACACCAGAGTGTTTACCTCTGTGACCGCTGTAACTGGTCACCACAGCTATCACAAAGTACAGAGACACTCTGATCGGCTCTGTACATTGTATCTATGATCCCAGCTGTAAATTGACAGCTCAGATCACAGCCAATCACAGACACACTTGCCACCCATGTGAATTTTCTGCAGATCCGTTTATAAATAGCACTCCAGAAATGCATGTCCACCGATCCACCATCCACCGGGCGCTGATGTTGGAAGTGGTTAAAAAGTTTAGCTGAGGGGAGCAAGGAGAACCCCACTAGTGTGATGATTCTCAGTTATGACTGGTGATATACTAAAGTGAATTGACGTATACAAGAGTTAATCTCAAATCTTCAATCTTGACTTAAAGCATACATCAAAGTAAACAAACAAACATGCATGCATTACCCCTCAGCAATACAAGCACATGTTTGCAGGTTTTATTCCTATAAGCACAGGAAAATACCCATTGACCTGCCAGAAATACACTAAGCCCTGTTATGGGCTGACAACACACATCATTGTTGTGAACCGAATGATGTCAGCCCTGCTCATTGTCTTCTGCTAAGTTACTCAACCACTCCCACTGTCTTCTTATTTACAACATAGGAACTAATTGACTTGCAGTCCAAGATAAGAACAGGGATGGCTAAAATGTTTCTTTGAGATAACACACAGGGCAGCTCTGAATTTCTGACATGATCAACAGGTATTTTTTTTTTTGCACTTATTAAACAGATATAACAAAATGCTTTCCATTATATATGTAACAGAACAAAAGTGAACAGGGTTTACATACACTTGAGTGCATTTTTTTTAAAGAATATGCAAACTTAAAGGAGATTATCCTCATAGTTAGAGCCGACCTGTGACAAAGAAACTGTCACAGGTCGGCTCTATCGATCGGGAAGTGAGCAGAAACAATAGAACAGTACCAAATCGGTAAAGCAAAACAAACGACAACCGCGGCGGTTGTCGTTTGTTTTGCTTTACCGATTTGGTGCAGCGACGCATGGGGTTTCTCAGCTGCCAATGGGATGTGCGGGATCCCTTGTGTGTTTCTGTACCTTTAAGGAGGTGGGGCGTCCTCCTGACAGGCCTGCACCCAATTTGATATCTTCTGCCCCATGTGCTCCAAGATGGAGACTCTCATAGTTTAGAGTTAGGACCGCACTATAAGAGGTGCCTTGGCGCGGCAGTGCGGCTTACACATCCTTTGCAGAAGACGTGTATCCAAACCTCTGTCATTGTCCTTAGTGGTGAGACAAGTTGTTTTACATGCTAGTTTGTGAGTGTGCCATGATGCCTTTCTACTGTTCTACTGTTCAAAGCCCATTTCGTGTGCACCTTACTGTATAACTGGTAACAAATTGTTGAGTGCGGTTGTCGTTTGTGAGCAGAAACAAGCCGCCGATCCGCTCACTTCCCGATCGTCTCGCTGCAGTGAGCGGTGACTGTCAGTCAGCGCTCCCCGCGGGGATTCCCCCCTCCCCTCTCCGATCCTCCAGCGTTGAGTGGGGGAACGAATGGGGGAGGGGGCAGGCACAGCTGGCTCTGCCTCTAGATAGGCAGAGCCAGCTGTCACTCACGCAGCTTGGTGGATTTCAACAGTATTGTCGGGATCCATCTCGGCTGCGCTGCTCTCAGTATATAATGAGCAATAGCCTGCTGTATACTGAGCTTTGGGTCACGGGAGGAAGTTAGTATATGTCCTCCCGTGCCCCTAAAGAGAGCTATAGGGAAAAACACTTACCCCATAGTTCTCTTTTAAAAAGGATTAATCTGCAGCTTTCATTACAATAATACCTGCTGCTATCCCTGATGATTCATGCTACAAATGCTGACATTCTTGTTTCCATGTCTTGTGAACCTTTATACATTGCTTTTTGATCAGAATGTTGTGGTTGGTTGTTGTGAAACATTTACTGAACAAAAACAATACCTGGTGATCCAACCACAAAGGTCCTTGTTCAATCACCTCTTGTTATAGTGTGACGACTCTCTGTTTCTGTCCCCTAATTTTGCTCTGGCACACGGGCTTCCAATGAACACTATAAGTGGCTGTGCTGGCGCACATTACACAGGAATGGACCACTGTTGTCAACATCAGGAAACCCACCCTGAGAAATGATATGCGACAGTAGTTGGAGTGCATTTAAACAGAAAGAGGATGGAGCCGGTTAATAATGAGATGCAAAGGATGAAAAAAGATAAATCCAGTAAAAGTACCCTCCCTGCACCCTACTGCGGCTCCTTGCTCCTTTGCTGCTGGCTAGAAGCACCTGATCTTGGGTCCTGCGGTGGCCAGCGCTCACTTTTCTTCCCCTCTACGCTGGTTGTGGCAAGTCCCTCGGAGTCCTCATGCCTAATGCAGGTGAATGAACCTGCATTAGACAGGATGATGTCAGTGGAGCTTAGACCGTCTGTCTCCCCATATGTTGTAAGGCATTGCGCAAACTGTTGGTACTATATATAACCTTTATAATAATAATAGACTGCCAGAGCCCGGGAAGAGGCTGCAGGAACTGGTCTAGCAGCCAGAAAGGACTGATGATCAGGTGAGTATATCTTCGTTATTTGTGCCCCTAGACCAAAACGAGCAGTTAACCCTTGCATTTCAGGAGTAGCCTCACTGCAGGGGTTATTTTTTTAAATTCTGGAGCTCTACTTTGACACATCCAGGTCAATATTAAAAGGTATGCTATTTACTTTCATACTCCAATAAATATATATATA